GATAGGGTGGGGGTGAAAGACCTTGATCCCATAGAGACCCCTGTCCCCTGGCAGAGGACAAGAGTCTGCACTTGTGGGTCTAGAAGCTTACGTTATTTTTGCAAATCATTTTCAAACATTCAAAGATAATGTGAACACTGCCTATAGGCTTTCAGGAGCTGTGTAGCCAGGTGAGGTGCTCTCCTGCTGGCCTCCTCATCTCTGCCCCCCTCTACCCCCCTCTGCCCCCCTCTGCCCGGGCTGCCTGCCCTCTCTGTGGGGAACCATGAGGAGGAGCCTCAGTCTCCGGAGAAGCCAAGTGGCACTGTCCCCCACATGGAGCTGGAGCTGACAGCAGCCGGGGGTGGCACTAGGTAGCTCAGAGGTGAGCGGGTGAGGGACAGGCCGAAGGTCGGAAACGGGCAGGGACAGCACCCATCCGTGGGTCCTGTCTGTTTGGGCATTTCCTCCCCTTCTTCTCTGAGCCCTCCTCGGAGACCCTACCTGGAAGGTGTCAGGGGGACCCACACACCATTTTTATTCTTTCCAACACGGACAGCAGCACTGCCAGGGTCTCGCCGCCCCCTGGGAGGCCTGGCCTCAATCGCCCTGTCCCAGGAGGGGCCCTGCAGGCGTGCGGCTCGGGCCGCCGTTTCTAGGCCAGGGAAGAGCCGTTAGTGGAGCTAATTTCAGAAGCTGTTTGGTCCCCGTGGGCCCACTCTGGGAGCCTGCAAGATGGCGCCCAGCTGGAGGGCAAGCGCCACAGCCTCTCGAGCGTCCCCCTCCCAGAGAGTATCCGTGGGCCTCTGAGCGTTCTGGACCTGCCGCCCCCCAGGAGGCTCCTGAGAACCTGGGCGCGTTTGGGACCCACAGGAAGGTGAGAAATAGGAGTCACGGGTTCCCCAACTCTCACCAAGGAGTGGGCTCACGGGCTCCCCAGCAGACGCTCCTCAGCTCGGCCACCACGCGCAGCTGTGGCCTGCAGCACACGGGCCTGCTGAGGCAGCACAACGACGCTCTGACCCCGAGTGTCCCCATGGCCGCTCAGGGACTGTTCAGCACAGACTGGGGAAGCGCAGGGTCTGCCCACAAGCTCCCGCCTGCAGGCCCGCCCAGTGTGCGGAGGACGCCCAGGTGAACTCGGTCTGGGCCTCTGAGCCCTGTGGTGCTTCTCAGTGGATTTCAGCTGTGACCACGTCGAGCTTTCTGACCCCACTGCGGAGAATTCCAAACACACCTGCAAGCAGGCTCCTGGAGCCCGCCACAGGCCCACACCTAGCCAAGTCACTCCAGGGCTTCTCTCTTGGGGCACTGTTGAGCCAGAGCCTTTCCTGGGAGCCAGTTCTACCCAGGCCCCCTGAGGGCAAGGCGTGACTGGGTAGTGGGGCCTAGGTCTCAGTCCCAACCTTGAGCCAGTCTTTGGGGGCCGACCAGGACCCCTGCCCTGAGCCTCCCACCAGTGTGAGCAGGGCCCCGGCCCCAGAGAGCCCAGGCAGCCCAGGCAGGGCACCTGAGTGGCTGGCAGGCAGATGAGCACAGGCCCTGGGGCATGAGATGGGGGTGGGGGTGGGGGTGGAGAGAGGCCAGCACTGGAGCCATCTGCCGAGAACACGGATGCCTTTGCTCTAAGCTCCCCACCCGCCCAAATCCATAATAAAAATAATCCCCAATTTCCCTGATTTGCCCCAGTTTCAGAGTGCCGCCTGAGCTGTCATGTGCCTGCTCCAGGGGCTGAGGTGCCACTGACCCCTTTTACAAAATCACCACAAAGGACCCAAGTGTCTAAAGGGGCAGGGGCACCGCGTCCACCTTCCAGGTGGGCAGTGACCAACCGAGGGGCTCTGGCCCAGGAAAGGCTACAGGAGCACCTGTAAAGGCCCAGGGAGCCTTGGGCTCTGGCCTCCTTAAGGACCGATTAGGGAGCTGGGTCCTGCTACCTGGGGGCCCACCCAGGATACAGCCTGGCACCTGCATCACCCAATGACCTTGGGGACACAACTTTCCCGAGTGGAGCAGAGCAGCAGGCCCAGGGGCACACCCAGGGCGTGGTCAGAGAAGGGGTGCAGCCTCGGTCCTGACAGCGTCTGCCCAGAATTTCATCACCGAGGACCAAAGCAGACCTGGAACTACATCCCCCACCCCTGTAGGCTGGCCGGGCTAGGCCGAGTCCCCAGGGCCAGCTCAGTGCTGAGGAGGATGGGTAGAGGATAGGGGCGGTGCCAGGGACTGGCCCCAGGTGGCAGGAGTGGGCGGGCACCTACTGGGCTCTGCCTGCCTGTGTGCCAGGCTCACTCGCCCATCACTTAGTCTTCAGTCACTTTGTCATCACTTGGCCCTCACATCACTTCTCCCTCGCCATCACCACCCAAGGTAAGTCTGACGAACTGAGGCTGAGCAGGGAACGGAAGCCCAGGGCTCTGGGACTTGGCCATGTCCCAGTGGGCTGACCTGGACAGACCAAGGCAGAGACCAGATGGCCCTGCCTGCCTGTCTTCCAGTGGAGGATGGCCGCCCCGAGTGTCCCAATGGACCAGGCCTGGTGGGGGAGACCCCTGTCTGCAGGGGGTGGGACAGAGCAGCCTACAGGCAGGGGAGCTGGTTCCCTCCGTGCACCAGGCTCGCTGCCCGGCAGTGCCCACCAAGCACTGTGCTGGGGGTGGGGCGGGCTGTGGGGCGGGCAGAGTGTTTGGGACTGAGGCCGGGCTCAGCAGCGGCTTCACACAGGGAGGCCAGTTGGAGGGGGCTGTGGACAGGGCCACTGCAGTTCCACAGCGGGGATGCCCCCATTTCTGTCTGTGTGAGAGCCTGGTGTGGGGGGTTGGGGTGCTGAAATTTGGGGTCTCTGGGAGAGGAGCCTGTAAACCCCCTCAGATACCCTGATTGTCCCTCAGATACCCTGCTCCCCTGGGCTCTCATTCTCACTCCTGGCTGACCCCCCCAGAACCCCCTCCCAGCCTGTGCACTCCCCAACCACCACAATGACCAGGACCCATCCCCTCCCACTGACACACACACACACACACACACACACACACACACACACACACACACACCCTTCTCCAGGGAGATAGCCTGAGGCCACAGGGTCATACTTGTCAGCCTGCGGACCACTTGCCCACCCGCCCCAAGTCAAGAAAGCCAGTCCCTTGTCTCCCAGCCTCAGTGAGGGCGGGAGTGGGAGGAGTAGGGGCAACAAAGGACTCCCTGGGCCCCTGGAGTGAACTGAGTGGGGGAGTTACAGAGCAACCTGCCCTCATGTGTCCCCAACTGCTGGATCTCCTGAGAGGCTGCCAGTTGGTTCACAAGCAGAAACTGGGCCACGATGTTTGTGAAGTTCCAGGGGAGACACTGGGCAGCAGGAGGGGGCAGCTGTTCTGAGTCCTGACCTACTGGACAGCCTCTGACCTCCAAGATCCCCGGCACCCCAACCCCCAGCCAGAGATGCAAAACGAAGTCAAATCCTCCCAGCCTCAGGATTTACGTGTCCCTGGTGGGGGCTTTGTCCATGCAAAGGTTACACTTCTTTGCATACACCTCTACAGCCAGCAGTGGGAAGCAGGCCTCACAGGAGGCAGGGTTGGTGTGGGCTCTTGGGAACCTGTCTGGGGTGTGTCGGTCTTGCTATCTCCCAGCAGGGACAGTGCCCCATGTCTCCGACCCAGAGGCCCAGCCATGGTGAGGCTGATTGGGTGGGGACAGAGCTAAGGGTGGAAAGTTTCTCTGCAGTTAATTAGCCCCTGGGGCAGGGCATCTACTGGAACCTCATTAGCGGAGCCTCAGATCCAGCCCTGCACCCCAGGACTGCCGTGTGGATCCGGGGAAGCACGTGGGGCTGGTGGTACACCTCCCAGGCAGTGGGTTGTCAGTGTGCAAGGACAGGGTCCCTCCTTTCGTGTAGGGGTCTCATCGGCGGGAGGGACCATCTGGGGCCATTGCAGGCTGGAATCTCTGTTGCCTCTTCGTGTCCTCCAGCCCCAGGCTGGCGACTTCCGAAGCCCCCGAAGGCATGGAGGAGTGGGACGTGCCCCAGATGAAGAAGGAGGTGGAGAGCCTCAAGTACCAGCTGGCCTTCAAAAGGGAGATGTCATCCAAGAGCATCCCTGAGTGAGTGCCCAGGACCCCGAGCCTCAGCCTCACCCCACGCAGGGCCAGCTGTTGATTTGCACCTCATTTCCCTGCCCTGTGCTCATTTACGTAAGCTCAGACCCTCACATGTAACACTGGGCAGCACGTGAGGGACAAGGTACCCACCTGCTCACCCCATTCTCCCCACCCACAGGCTCCTCAAGTGGATCGAGGACGGGATCCCCAAAGACCCCTTCCTGAACCCTGACCTCATGAAGAACAACCCGTGGGTGGAGAAAGGCAAGTGTGCCATCCTGTGACCCCACAGCCCCGGGCTCATGCCTTTGTAAGAGGGCAGCTCTGTGAAGGTGTGAGCTGTATAGCCTTCCCCTCCCCCTCCTCCTAATCTAAGGGGCCCCAGGAGACTCTCAGCCAGGGGCTAACCCCTGACCCTGTCCCCAAGGCCTCCTTTTCCCGGACTTTGCAGTGAGCTGGCAGCAGCTGGGCCCTGGCTCACTTCTGTCACTTAGTTCTCAGTGAGCCAAGCAGCCCTGCCTGGGCTCCCTCCCTCCTGCTGCTGCATAAGTCCTAAGCCATTCCTCGTCACTGTCCCCAGCTTTAATAAATGTACTCTCAAAATGGAAATAAAAAATAACAGGAAGCACCACCATGGTGTCCAGTGTGGATCTGGGGCCATCCAGCATGACCTTGGGGTGTAAGCCTGGGTGTCAGTCATGAACACGGGTATCCGGTGTGGATTCTGGGGCATGCGGTGTCAATCAGAGCATCCAGCAGGGTCCTGGGCACCTCAGAGGAGTGGGGCGAGCCTCTGGCATAACCAGGTGTCCTGTGACTGGCTACAGCAGGTCCCAGATGTGCAGGTTGCGTCCAGCAGGGATCTGGGCACCGCGGAGGAGTAGGGCGAGCCTCTGGCATGGCCTGGGATCTGTGACCAGCTACAGCAGGTCCCGGATGTGCAGGCTGCGTCGCACAGCATTGGAGACGCCCTCCTTGAAGCGGAACCAGACATCGCTCCTGCCCACCGCCGTGCCCATGCGCTGCTCAACCGCGTCAGTCTCAGGGGCCGTGTCCTCTGTGGGGGACCACAGGGTTGATCCTCTGCCCTACCCCAGCCCCTCCCTCCACAGCTCCCACACCCACGCACACCTGCGCTCGGGGCTGCTGCTCTCCTGATGACCACGCGGCCGAAGAAATCCCTCTCGGTCTGCAGAGGGTGGTGGTCAGACTCATGGGGACAGACACATCCAGGACACCCCCTGCCATGAGGGAAGCTCTCCCCAGGAGGATGGGTCATGGCACCTCCGAACCATGGCCCACAGCTGAGGAGTAGGCACCTCTCCCAGCCCCCTCCCCTCATCCTGCACTGACCTACTCAGCAAGTGTCCCCTCTGCCCCTTACCACCCTCTCAGCTCCTGGTCCATCGGGGCCAGGGCAAGAGGTGCCAACAGAACCCAGCCTCCTGCCCAGGTGAAGCCCTACCCTGCTGAGCAGCAGGGAACTGGATGTTTAGGGGGGGTCCCTCAGAGCTTAGGACCAGCCTGTACCAGGTAACACAGCTGACCCCCGTGCCCCCTTTCAGCCCCCAAACCTGGTCCTCCAGGGCTGCTCTCTTCAGGATGCTCTCCAGCCGCTGCTCCTGACTGCGTGGGGTGGATGGTTGTGCCCCTTTCCCCCCAGTAGTCCCCTGCGGGCCCTTGGCCTTGGAGGGACTGCCATCCACCTGCAGGAAGTGGATGCGATGAGAGCGGACTGGGCAGGGCCGTTCCAAGGGCAGTATCCATCCTGAGGCCCTGCTCTGCCCCAAGCCAGAGGTGGGCTCACCTGGGGGCTGTCCCCATCTCGGGCCAAGGCCTCTGCCCGCCGCATCTTCTCCACTTCGATCTCACGGGCAATAAGCTGCTTGGCCTGGTAGGTGAGGGGCTTTCGGGCAGGCAGCTCAGGGAAGCGGCAGACCTCCTCCAAGTTCCTGCTCGGGGCGGGGGGCAGGGGGAGGGGGAGGGGGACAAGACAGCCAGACACATGCTCAGTGGGGACAGCAGCAGGGGCACCCCACCACAATGACTCCAGATGCCAGAACGAGAAAGCTGCAGGACAGGGGCCTCCCTAGGGCTACAAAGGGAGGGAATGAGACAACATGGCAGGGCTGGGGCTCAGGCTGGGCTCCGTGCTCAGAAACTGCCATTACTGCCTCCTTGCCGTCAGAGAAACACCTGCCTCCCAGACACTGAGGCCCTGACTGGGCAGCAGAACCCTAGGCCCGTGCTCCATCCCCACAGCCATCGCAGGACTGGGGACAGCCCTAGGGAGCTGAGGACCCGCTGGTGGGGCTCCTGGGGTCCACTGGGGCAGAGGGTCTGTAGTAAAAGCCTCAGTCCTGGGCTATCTCTGCCCAACCTGGGGCCCACTTCACAGTCACTGTGGGCAGGAGCTGAGCTAGAACCAACACTCCCGCCAACCTCTGACAAATGGGGAAACAGGCTCACACGCCTCACCAAGGCCATGCTTTTCCACTCCCGACCCAGCCCCCCACTACCCTCATTCCAAGTGCTGCAGACTCACGGCTCCAGCCTGTAGACATACTGCCCGTCGGGCGTGCGCTCCTGGCGGTAGGTCAGGCTGTAGGCAAGCATGGTGCCCACAAGGCTGCTCAACTGCAGCTTCTCACGGGCGCTGTACAGCTGCGTGCTCACCTGCGGGCAGGCAGGAACGAGTAGGAACACGGAGCACAGGCCAGGAACCCAGTCCAGCCGGAAGCCGCACCCTCCTTCTGGGAGAGGCACTCACAGGGCGGAGCTTAGGCACGAGGATGTCCAGGAGCAGGCAGAGGGTGTCCAGGACGAGGGCCGAGGGCGCTGTTTGGTTGCGAGTGGCTGGAGCAATACCTGATACCAGTGTCTGGATCAGGTTCTGCACCTGATTCGTCCGGTTCTGGGCCTGGGGTGGAGGGTAAACCAGAATCAGGTCAGCCAGGACCCCCTAGGATCCCAGGCCCGGCTGAGACAGGGGCAAAGGGTAAGAGGCAAAGGGTAAGGGGCAAGGGGCAAGGGGCACGGTGCAGGGCACACCTCCTGCTGGCTATTCGGGAAGGCGATCCTAGGCACATGGCTGGAGGCAAACAGCAAGTGGAAGGCCACAAGCAGGAAGGGCTGGTAGCGCAGCAACTGGAAGCTCTGGCTGTGGTAGGCGGCCTGGCCCAGCGTGTCCTCAAAGGCTAGCCAGTCGAGAGCTGTACACACGGAGCCCAGGCTGGAGTCCCGCAGCCGCAGCCGCAGGAAGTTGTCAAACAGGCCCTGTGAGTAGCGGGTCTCTGAGTCCCTCTAGCATCATGCCTGCCTCCCTCCCCCACAGCACAAGGGACCCTTCACTGCCAAGTCAGGGGACTCAGGATAGCACCGAGCACCAGTGAGTGGCCACATGGCCCTGACAGGGTGCCAGGAAGGCCCATCTGCTGTCCCCACTCTGGTCTGACCGAGACCCTGGGATGTACAGGAAAGAACCCCCGCTCCATCCCTCCCTAGAGGGAGTCTGCCCACCAGAATGGGCAGTGCCCGCACCCTCCTCCTATGCAGACGCCCCATCCCCTCCCGCACTTGCTCTGCCCTCTGCAGCCAGGGGCTTCTGGATTTGCGCGGATCCCTAACCACGAAACCCAAAGAGGCTTAGTTAGGGAGGAGGCTTAGGCCGGGCTTTCAAGGTTGGGGGATGCATCTCTGCCACCTGCTCAGGCCAAAATCCCTATCTGCTCTCTAATCGCACCCCATTCCCACAGCTCATGTCCAGAACCAAGCCCCCCTCCAGCCTGGACAGGCTCCCAGCTGCTGCCACACTGCACAGTGGTTCCCAACTGATAGCCGGTGACCCCCTTCCCCCACACCCAGCCCACTGCCATGCTGGCAGCCACCCCCCTCCCAGCACCAGCCAGCCTCTCCTCCGGCCCTCAGTGCTGCTCAGATCCCGAGGCCTCTCTGATGCCCTGTCTGCCCCACCTCCTTCCCATCCCACCTGCTGTTTCTAGAGCTTGGTGCTATCTGAACTGTCTCCTGTTCGTTGTCTGGGGACCAGGGAACACCCCGCCCCGGCCCCTGGAAAAAAGGTTCAGGTAGAGTGTAGTTACCTGGACTACCTTCTCGTGCTCGCCCGAGGAGGCGGCCACATGCAGGATGTGGTAGAAGCGCTGTGCGGCCATGGTCAGGGGCGCCTCGGCAGCCTGGGGCCCCAGCCCCACGGGCCCATCGCCCAGCAGGAGCGTGCGGGCAGGCAGGGTTGGGTCCTGGCCCACACGTCGCCTGCGGAGGGTTGCTGAAGCTGGAGTGGAGCCCCCACCCACTTTATTCCTGGTGGCAGCACCCTCCCGCCTCAAGGCTGCCCCAAGGAGGCGGCGGTGAGGGAGGCTGAGGCACAGCCTTAAAAGCAGGGCCCAAGCAGCCTTGGTTTCTGTTGGCAAAAGGAGGGGCTGGCTGCACACACAGGGTTTCTGTCCGGGGCTGGGGCACCACGGATGTCCAGGCTGAGCCTGGCCCGCCCTCTCTCTGCCACCCACCTACCTCTGGGCCCGGGGCAGCTGGAAGACCTCCTGCCACACGGAGAAGAGCCCCCTGCGCTGGTCCTTGAGGCCGACTCGTGTGGTCTGCACGGCCTGGACACTCAGCTCCCGCTGGCCTCGCCCGTGCAGGAACTGGACACAGGGTGCAGGGGTTGAGAGGTGGCTGCCCCCTGTGCCACCCCCCACAGCCAGCTTCCTCCCCGCCCACCTGCAGGGTGTTGATGCAGGCTCGGATGTCATTGTCTGTCTTCTCACAGAGGGCTGCCAGGGCGCCTGGGTCGGCCTGCAGGCCTTGCCGCAGGGAGATCTGCAGGAGGCAAGAGCATGGGTACCACCCCCTCTCAGAGCTCCACCCTACAGGCACCTCCTCCCTAGAAATAGGTGAGTAGCTGCTCTCATCCTACAGGAGACAAAAACTATAGGTACTGGAGACTGAACTCGGTCCCTGCTAGGGACCACCCACCACCAGAGAGCAAAGTGATCCAATCACCCTCACCCCGGACCTGGGATGGGGGAAAGGGAGTGGCAACAGAGAGGGGGTAGTGCCCTGGATGGCAGAGGGGAGGGGTGTAGAGAGGTGAGGAGGGGAAGGTGAGACCATGACAAAAATCCCCCCACCCTGTCGTCAGCCATGCAATCCCAGCCTTGTCCTCCTCCACTTCCACCTCCACCTCCACCTCCACACCCGACTGACCTCCTGCAGCCGCTGGACGAGCCTGGAGGGTAGCGTAGGTGGAAAGTGGAGCAGGAAAGCCTGCTGCTTCAGCTGCCGCAGAGAGGGCGCAAACCTGCAGGATGGGCACAGGGTGTGGGGGAAACCCTCATCCAAATCCCAGCCTCAAACCCACTGGGTGGCCAGGTGGGGCTAGCATGTGCCATCCCAGGGGCCGGGGGATGCTCTGCCCTCCTGCGGACCCCGGCCGGTGGAGCACCCTCAGGCCCTCACCTTCAAAACCCTGCCCCACCCTACTCACTGGTCATTACAGATGCAGATGACTGGCCTCATCAGGAGACCCCCCTCTGCCCGCGGCCGCCGCCCCTCACCCGCCAACACGGCCCGGCCCCCCAGCTCTGCCTCCTTCGGGCCCTTGCGGTCAATGATGCTGAGGAGCACGTTGATGGCAGCCTGGGGGGACATGCAGGGGGTGGAGTGAGCCACAGCCCAGACTGCCCACCCGCCTACCCACTGACCAGGCACCCAGGAGGCCCACCGTGGGGGCCCCATCAATCTCATCGATGACCAGGCAGTTGGGCTTCCCGCCAATGCCCAGCACCGACTCCATCTGCGTGGCCGCCTCGATGTGCGTGCGGAAGGCCTCGGGACTGCGGTCGTCACTGTAACCGTAAAGCAGGGAGGGGCCGTCAGGGCAGCGGGGGCCTCGGCCAGGGCAGCAGCCAGTGTCCCCGCAGGAAGGTCCCCCAGGGCCAAGCTGCTACACTTCCACCTGGAGGCCACCCAGCGCCATGACTGCTCCAAATCCCAATGCCCCCAGGACCCAGCGTCCCAGATTCCACCAGACATATCAGGACAGACAGCAGGCCCAGAGGCCAGGCCTTCCCTCCCACTCACCTTGCGTTCATTTCCACCACACAGTACCCAGCATGCCTTGCGATCACGTGGGCCAGAGTGGTCTTGCCCAGCCCAGGGGGTCCGCATAGCAAAGCTACCTGCAACCAAGACATAAGACAGGCTGCAACCTGCACCATGCTGGGGAGCATCTGGCCCAACCACCAAGGCTGCTAATCCTGTGCCATGAGGCTTGGTGCCAGGGAATGCCCATATCACCCCACACCCACCTGGTCATCCAGTGAGAACCCCAGCATGCCCATGGCTCAGAAGGAGCACTTCAGAACGAGAGAAAACCCTGAATAAAGACAGTGATGGGGAGACCTGACAGCACCACAACCGATACTGACATGACTGACCCCTCAAAACCACTCACTGTCTGCCACATCCTTCGGGAGGTACTGGGCCCTTTAAGGGACACTGACCTTACCTAAGTCATTAGCTCAACCAACTCCCATTCCCATCACTGACTCCCCACACCAACACGGCATCATGCCCTCACCATGCTGAGGAGCACACTGTGCGTGCCCTGTGGTCCCCGCGGTGGAAAGGCACAGCCAGTGAGTGTAACCTGGGCTCAGAGACACATGCAGGGCACAGAGGGGGGCTCACCTTCTGCCGGGGCCGCCGGCTCAGGTCCAGCTCGGCCTCGAGCATCTCCTCCAGCACCTGCTCGTGGCTCTTCCACTTGCCGGAAGCGGGGGCCTCCTTGCCAGCCCGGGCCGGCTCCACACCGGGCCTGGGCTTCCGGGCCGGCCTCTCGCGGCCGAACACCACCAGGTCCCACAGCTTCAGCCACTTGAGGAGGCAGCGGTTGGTGAACTGTGGGGAGGGAGGTATTGCCTGGGAGGACCACCAGTGCCTCCCAGGCCTCCCCTCATGCTGTCCAAGGACACACAGGGATGCTGAGGCTGAGTAACAAGGGACTCCCACTCATCCAACTGGTGAGCGGCAGACTGAGGCTCACACAGGGGCCTCCATTCCCATGCCCTGGCCCTGACCCCTCCAGGAGCCCCAGGGGCACCCCACCCAGGGGCATCAGCTGCTGAGAGGAAAGGACAGAAAGGCTACAGACACGGGGTGCTCTGGATCCTCAGCCCACATCAGAGGTGACCAGCAGCATGCCGGTTCGATATTGCCTCAGTTTCCCCAACTACAACTCAGCAAGGCACACCAGAGCCCTGCTTTCCCTTCCAACAGGGCTGTGGGCTGGTGACACGTTACTTGCTGGGCCCTGAATCCCCCCCTCCTGGCAACAAAAGAGCCAGGCACACTGAGCAGGCGCGAGGCCTCACGTCGTCGCTGAGCAGCTCCGTGTAGTGCCGGGGCGCAAACTCATCCACCCAGAGGCTGTGCTGCGCATCTTCCTGGCGGTCGGCCGGCACCTCCTCCGGGGCCTCCCCCTCCGTCTCCTCCGTCCTGAGGCTGAAGAGCATTGTGCCTGAGCCGCCAGCCTTCACCCCAGCAGGGATTGCTCCCCGCCCGGAATGCAGGCTGGGGGTCAGTAGTTCAAGAAGGTTCCAGGAGCAAAAGGGCCACCACAGCACCTGTGCAGTGTGTCTGAGAGCCGCTGGGCCTGTTCGAGCAATCGCTGCCGCCGCTGTGCACAACAGGGGATGGGATCAGGACGGCTCCGACAGCCAGCCGCCCGCCCTGGAGCTGCCCCTCTCCTCCCAGCAACCCCAGCAGACCCCACCTCACTGTCAACCTGCTCCTTCAGAGAAGCGAAAGGCACGCCCAGCAGGTCCAGGCGGCCACGGCCACGCCAGTGGGTGTCCAAGGAAGGGCTCTGTGGGGGAGAGAGAGCAGTAGTAGCCTCTGGACGCCCTCCTAGGTCACGGGCTTACCCACAACCCCCTCCCAACAATGCTCAGAGGCCTAGGTGCATCTGCCAGCGCCAGCAGGCCTAGCGATGGAGGAGTCCCCTCTCTCAGGACTGGAAGAAGAAAAGCCACTAGGAAGGGGGCAGCTCCAGGAGGGAGGAGAAAAGCAGAGGGGGAAGAAGGGAAAGAGAGGAAGAGTCCTCCTATGGATATGATTTCCTGGGCTGTGCCAAGCCTGCCAACCCCTCAGGGAGGCTGTGGCCAGCCTAGACTCCCCCGTCCCCCCCACCCCTGGCCACACAGCACCCACCTGCACTCCAGTGCCCACGGGGTCAGCCCGAAGCACCAGAAAGGCCCGGTCTCCGCCGGTGGAGGTCACGTTGACGTAGTCCTCCAGGACAGGGGGTCGCCTCAGGACCGGGTTGCGAGGGGCCGGGGAGGCCAGTTTGAGCCCCAGGTCAGCACCAGGGTCCGCGGTCCTGAGAAAGGACCAGGCTGTCTTGCACTTTGCTTCCTGTCACCCTGAGGCAAGGAGCCCGGGTTCACCCTCTGCTGCCCACCCTCCCACAGGCCCACCGCCCCAGGCCTTGGGACCTGGTCTGAAAAAACGAGCCCCTTTGATTCCAAGCAAGCCACACACCCCTCGCCCCACAGCTCAGCGGGGACCTCCGGACTGGGTGGGGGGGTGATGTCCCGAGGAGGGGAGTCGGGAAGCAGCGGCTCTTCCATCTCATCCTGCCCGAAGTCTAGCCTTTTGACCGCCTCCAGCCTGGGCCGCTTGACCCTCGGAGCTGGGGAAACAAACACACACTCTGGGAAGAAGCAGGATGCTTCCCCCGCCCTGCCTGCCACCCCTGGGGTTTCCACGACGGACGTACTGAGGAGGAGTCCGTCCCTCTCGGCGTCGGTGGCCAGCTGCCTCCTCCTGGCACCCCTGCGGCTCCCTGAGCGTCCATCGGGAGAACAGGGCGCCGCAGCGTCCCCTCCAGCAATGGCCTCCTCAAACGACGGCCGGAGCCTGTCCCTGCAAGGTGACAGAGCCTCTCTCCCTGCTGGGAGGGAAGATGCACAGCAACCGCCTCAGGGCAGCCGTCCCTCCCCGCCGCGCCCCCATCCCCGAGCAGCCCTCCCCAATTCCCGGGGCAGGCCGGGCCCGCCCAGCTGCCGGTGACAAGGCCGCGCCCGGGCCCGCGCCCACCTTCCAGCTCCGCCAGCACCTCCAGCTCGTCCGCAAACTGGCTGTGGAAGTCGTCCTCGATGCCGTGCAGCTCCCGCTCATAGTCCTCCATGGCCACGCGGCCCCGCCGAGCTCGCCAGAGCCGCCGTGGATTCTGAAGCTCCCGCGCCCCAGCTGCGCGCCGTTCCCGCCCCCCCGCGTCTCGGCGCCGCCAATGGACAGCCGGCGTGCCCGGCGGCGCTCAGCCATTGGTCGACAGGCGGGGCCGGGCGGGGGCGGGGCTGCGCGCGCAGGCAGGGCGGAGCCGAGTCCAGGCTTGGCGGCCGAAAGGCACATTCCAAGAGCTCGCTATTGGTCGACACGGCTGCCCGTCTGGGGGCGTGGGCGGGGAGTGGCCGGGGCGTGGGCGGGGCTCTGCGGGCAGGCCGGACCTGGAAGGAGGTGGTTCCGTGGCCCGAACGAAAAGTCCCAGGGTGGTGGGTCGCGAGGCGCGGGGACACGGGAGTTGGATCGGGGAGGGTCAGCGGCATCGGGGATCCGGACGGTGCGGCCCGACTGCAGATCGGTTCCAGAGTGAGCGGGGGCGGGCTCACAGCCGGGATCCACCCAGAACCCCTGGGCCATCGTACGTAGGAGGTAGGGGTTTCGCGGAGGGAAGGTAGGGAATGGGTGTCTGCATGGAGGGTGGTGGGTGAGAGTGAATTCCACCCCTGCACCCAGCGCCCCCACCACCACCTTGCACCCGGCTGACGTGTGCCGTCCCCGAATGCGAGGGCCGTAGCAGCCCCTCTCCTAGACCCCCACCCCTGTCAGGAAAAGGTTCCGGATGTGTTGGCGGCAAGGGTCGTGGGCGTGGGCTGGAGAGAAAGACTTTCTCCCAAGGCCTAGGTCTGGCCGGGACTGTGGGACTGCCCCACGTCCAAGCAACACTGGCTCCCCTCACCTTGACCACACTTCCATCCCAGTTGCCACTCTCCTACGTGGCTCAGGGGTGAAAATAGTCAGGAGCCCAGTGGATGCAGGCACAGAGTAGGTGCATGTGTTTGCCTGATATTCAGCGTTTGTGGCTTCAGACCCAGAGCTCCGGAGAGCGGGAGGTTGTCTATGAACCACATGCCTGCCCTGCAGGCCCCACCATGGAGCCAGGCAGCGTGGAGAACCTGTGCATCGTCTACCAGAGCCGGGACTTTCTGGTGGTGAACAAGCACTGGGACGTGCGCATCGATAGCAAGACGTGGAGGGAGACCCTGACCCTCCAAAAGCAGCTGCGGCACCGCTTCCCGGAGCTGGCCGACCCCGACACCTGCTACGGGTTCAGGTACCCGGGGGCGCAGCCAGGGAGCCCGAGGCAGCCTCCACTGGAGGGAAGGGGCCGCTCCCTCCCAGCCTCTTCTGTCCCTTTGCTCTGAGCCAGGTTCTGCCACCAGCTGGACTTCTCCACCAGCGGAGCCCTCTGCGTGGCCCTGAACAAAGCAGCTGCAGGCAGCGCTTACAGGTGCTTCAAGGAGCGGCGGGTCACCAAGGCTTATCTGGCTCTGGTAAGGCCTGGCCAGGCCTGGGGCGTGGGGACGCCGGTGCTCACCCCACGTGGGCAGGCCCTGAGTTTCAGGCGGGCTCCCCTGACCCGCAGGTCCGGGGGCACGTCCAGGAGAGCCGGATAACCGTCAGCCATGCCATCGGCAGGAACAGCACGGAGGGTCGGACCCACACCATGTGCATCGAGGGCACCCAGGGTACAGTGGGCAAGGAGGCAGGGGCCGTGGGACGTGTTTCCTCTAAGGGGATGTTGTGCTGAGGTGAACTGAGGCCCGGGGCTGACCCAGCCAACCCTCACAGCCTCTTTTCCTCCCCCCTCGCCCCCCCTCCCCCCCAGGCTGTGAGAACCCGAAACCAAGCCTCACGGAGCTGGTGGTTCTAGAACATGGGCTCTATGCAGGCGACCCCGTCTCCAAAGTGCTGCTGCAGCCCCTCACAGGTACATTCAGGGGCGGGGCCAGGAAGCCCCCCAGGCTCCTCACGCCCCGCCCCCTCCCCCCAAACAGTGACCTGTCCCCTGGGGTGGTGGGGGCCTGGTGTCAACATCTCCTCAAGCCGTGCACCACAGTGTCCCCTTTAGGTAGGAAAGGAAACTGAGGCACAGAGGCAGAGTAGCCTGTCGGGGGCCACCCCCAAACAATGCTGGCAAAGCTGATTCTCCCCCACACCCTTCACCCCGCAACCTGCGGCTCTTGCTGGTCTGGATGTGAAGGCAGTGGGAAGGCTGGCCTGAGTTCGCCAAGGGACCGAGTGCGACCCTGGCCCTGCCTTTGCCAGAGGTGACCCCAGAAATGGGCTTCCCTTCTAAGTTCTTGTGTCCTCACCTGTAGCAGAAAGCAGAAAGGGCTATTGCATGTGCCTCTGAGTTGGCGGCTGGGGACAGTGGCATGAACAGTGGGTGGTGATCATGGAATGGCACCCCGCCTCACGGGCCCTTCCTCCCCACACAGGCCGGACGCACCAGCTGCGTGTGCACTGCAGCGCCCTCGGCCACCCCGTCGTGGGGGACCTGACCTACGGGCAGGCCTCGGGCCAGGAGGACCAGCCGTTCCGCATGATGCTGCACGCCTTCTACCTGCGGATTCCCACGGAGGCGGAGTGTGTGGAGGCCTGTACGCCAGACCCGTTCGTGCCCGCCCTTGACGCCTGCTGGAGCCCTCACACCGTGGTACAGCCACTGAACCAGCTCATCCAAGTGCTGCGGGCTGCCCGTGACCCCGAACCCGCAGAAGGGGGCCACTCCACGCACCTGCCCAGGCCAGGCCGGCCCCCGCCGCCCCATCCCCCTGAGACGGAGGCTCCGCGGGCCTCGTATCTTCAGTGGCTGTCAGAGTGGACTCTGGAGCCAGACAACTGAGAGTGTGGGCCTGATGTATGGGTGAAGACTGGGACCGCCAGGTGGATGGGGACTGCGGGTCAGAACCCTAAGCTTATCCGGAGGCGAGGTGTCCCAGCCACAGAGCACTGAAACCCCACCCCAACTGTAGCAGCCAAACCTGCAGAGGGACCCACATCCAGCAGGGGGAGCCAGGCAGCCACGATTATGGAGAATGAACTCAGGGTGGAAGGACCCCCCCCCAAAAGGGAACCAAGACCTGCCAGTCCTCCCCAAGCACCTTTCTGCCTCCATAGCTTTGCCCCCGGGGCCTGTTTTGTAGACATGCTCAGGGGTTTCCCGGGCTAGCCCTTGCTGGGCCCCTCGTCCACCCCAGAGCACCTTGCTCCTTACTTTGTTCAGACGCTCTTGCCATCACCCCAGCTTGGCTGAGCCCCCTCCACCTGTAAACCCTGACTGGTCCCCTGTCTGGCCGGTCCTGCTTTGTGCCTTGGCTTCTGCCGAACTCTGCCCATGGGTCTCCCACCTCCACCCACATCCTAATCATCCCACGTGGGGAGGGTTGGGGCCATCCCTTCTGGCCTGATGTAAGTGCTCGGGGCGGGGGGGGGGGGGGGGGGCTCCCACACAGCCCCTGGTTATCAGACTTAGCCTAGGAGCAAGGGCAGCCCAGCTCCTGCCTCCTCTGTCCCCTTCAACACGCCCCATCATTCCAGCCGCAACAGGGCTCCGGGACTTAGAATAAAGGCTCAGTGACTCACCCTGTGCACAGCCATGAGTAATTCTGATGTGGGGATTCCAGGGGAGCCCAGACTCCTGCACCAGGTAGACCTCTGTCCCAAGCCCTCCTGTCGGACCCCAACCAGGACTTCGAGGTCCTGGCTGCTGACCTGCACCCCTCTGCGGCGGGCACACTCCTGCCCTGGTTGGGGGAAAGCTGGAGGATCCCTGGCCCTCCTAACTGAACACGTGGGAGAATCCAACTAGTCTCACCAGGGCCTCTCAGAGCCACTACCCATGGCCACCTTCACACCAGCCTTAGGCCTTCCACGTGTCAGAATGCCATAGGAGGGCTGTTGCCTGGGCCACCAGCCAATCGGGTCACATGCCACATCCGTGCACCCAGCTGGGCCAGACCCCTCTCAACAGTTGACACAGGTCCTGTCATGGGCTTCCTGGCTGGACCTACCTGTGACCACGTTAGGGTCTCTGCTGGGATGGAGCCGGAAGCAGCCACCATAGGGTCTCGGCAGAGGCTCCCTGTGTTGGCTCCCTCATCTGTAACAGGAGGGGCTGGAGCAAACCAGAGGGGCCCACAGGATGCCCACAGTGGTGAGCCAGACGGTCAGGTGGCTACTGTGGTATGCCCAGCGTGACTGGCCAGGGTGCGATGGGATAACATCCCCAGTCTCCATCCTGGCACACCTGCTTCCTCGTTTTCACACTTGTTGAACCTTCAACTTCAGGACACATCACCTTGCTGAGCCCTGCCCCACCTTTCCCCTTCTGCCCCTGCAGCCCCCGACAGCACACACCGGTTTTCAGCCTGGCCACCGAATCTGGTCATGCTTCCCACTCGTTGCTCTGTGGCCACAGGCAGGTTGCTCAGCCTCTCTGAGCTTGAGTTTCTTCCTCTGAAAGGTGCACGGAAGCTGTGCCATGAGCCAAGGCCGGCTCACTGAGAGAGACAGTGCAGGGAAGAGCCGGGCAGCCGTGGCTCTGCAACATGGCAGGTGCTGTGTTGCGGGGTTGTCTGGCCTGGGCCTGGGGCTGCCCTGGAGGCTTAGTCTGCAGGGGACAGGCCAGCAGGTGGCCTCCTGTACTCACTGGCTGCTTCCTGCTCCCACCCACTCTGAACTGTGGGAGCCTCCCTCCCCAGAAGCAAGAAGACCACACCACCTATGACAGCCCAGTCCCCCCAAATCCCTCACTGTAGAGCCCTCAGCCAGAACCTGGACTCCCATAGGGCCTCTGCACGAGCCAAGAGTGATCCCTCCAGCTGCCAGCCCCCAGGCTCGGGTCAGTGCCTTGCTTGGCCATGACGCTGGCTGGCTGGGCAGATGGTGGTCATCCGGCAGCTGAACCCGGGCTGTAGGCAGGTCGGGAAGTCCCTCCAGAAGTCACCCCTCCTGTTCAGCCTTGGAGATCTGCTTGGTGGACTGGCCTCAGAGCAGGTGTGGCACACTCTCCACCATCAAGGCTGCCCACCTGGTGCCCACATGCCCTCCCCACTCCTGGTACTCAGCTGTGTGTCTACTCCTGCCTGGCTCTGCTCCAGCATCCACAGCACAGAAACACTGCCACACCCGGCACCAAAAAGAGGCACCACATGGAGTCCACGTGTGCCTAATGCCCCTGCAGGGGACACACGCACAGAGGTGTGCATGCTCCCAGGCACACACACACACACAGGCACCTGTGTGCACACGCAGACACTGGCACACATGGTGAAGGCAGAGATATGAACGCACACACCACCCTCGAGGCAGGACCCCTCCATGGGAAAGGGGTTACGCTGGGTAGCTGCCAACCGTGTGCTCAGCATCTCTCTCTCCTGGGGCTGAGGAGCAGGTGCCACAGGGCTGGGCCCCAGGGGCCAATAGAGGAGCGTCACCTGGCACAACCCAGCCCCTCCCCTGCACCGGCCTGGGAGCGTCACTGCGGGAGCGGGTGGCTGACAGACAGGGTGCTGGTGAGGCGTGGAGGTGAGCGGGGACCCTGGCGCTCCAACCCTGCACCACCCCCGTGCCCCAGGGCTCAGCTGCAAGGGCTGACATGCTCTGCGGGCTGGGACGACTAGTGTCTGGCACCTGGTTACAGCCCTCTGCATCCAACAGCCGATGCCTGGCTCCAGAGCACCACCCTCAACCGGAAGTTCTTTGTGCTCAGGTGAGGTAGGGGCCGGGGTGGGGCCATCACCAGCTGGACCCCAGGACCAGGCTTCTAGTCTGGTATCTGCAGGCCTGGGCAGGTAGCTGAGCCTCCATTATGCTCCCTGCATGGGGGGTAACCTCCCAGTCTTGCTCCTGGTCCATGTGTAATCTGGAGGCCCATTTGCACCCCAAACTGTGAGACTGTGCAAGGGTGTGCCCAGGAGTGGGCAGTGTGGGCCAGCCTCCCAGAAATCCCTCACTTCCCAGGGCCTGAGTCCCCAAGCTTCAGAGCTTTGGTCCCACCACAGACAGGCCTGCCCAGGGCAGGGGGAGGGGGCTGCACTGTGGGCTATGTCTGTGACCAGGACTTAGGCCCAGAGAAGGGGAGAGAGCTGCTTGGGCCGCCCAGATGGGAAGCGAAGCCATGGCCATTCGGGGAAGGTTGGGAGCCACCAGGTCTCCCCCAGCGACCTGTGGGGACTCGCCGGGACCGCTGCCCCCTCCCCTGTAGCTGTCAAGAGATCTCTTCATTGGAGACACCACAACCCAAGCCACAGCCAGTGGGTCCCCTGAGCCCCAACTTGCTATAAGAAAGGCCTGGCTCCCCCTAGAGCGGCTCCCTTTTGTTCCAAAGATGTTTGTTTGTGGGGTGTACCCCTCCCCAAAGGCAGAGACACAGCAGCAGCCTGGCTCAGGCTGCCTGCCCTGCAGGGCACCCATCCTGTGTGACACTGGACAGAAGCCCTTCCTGTCAGTGCCCCTCGGCCAAGGCTGGTGCGGGAGCCCATGGGGGCAGCCTCATCACTTCCTGTCTCCTCTCTAGCTTGTCCTGGACCCGCTGCCTGTGACCCCAGCGCCCGCCGTGCACCGTGCACAGCCATGGGCCCCAGAGCAGGTGTGCTGACGCTCTCAGGGAAGGGGCTCCCGGGCAGCATGGCGGCAGAGGTGGGGCGTATTCACCCGCCGGCCGCCATGTCCTGCCAAGCCTGCGATCGAGGCCCTGCCCAGGATGCCCCATGGCCAGCTGGGGCTCAGGGAAGGGAAGGAGAAAGGCAGGCAGGGCACTGGGCCTGGGGGGTGAGAGGGGACAAGGAGAGGTCACGGCTAGAAGGGGCTCAGAAGGAAGTGGTCGACCCCATTCCCTGTGTTTGAGGGTCTTGGGTCTCAAACTGTGAGGACAGAGCCACACAGATAGAAAGTACCAGTGCATGTGTACACACAGTCCACCCATGTATATCTCATCACACATATGTGAACATTGGCAGGCACATGTACAGTCCATCACATATGTGTACACATGCTTCCAGACACAAAAAAAAGGATACACGCCACCAGTTGCACATAGGTACACATCATCACACACAAGTAAACTGCCACACCACCAGATATGCATTATATTGGGCATACATGCCATCGCAGGCGTGTATGTGCTACCATACACATGTGCACATCACATGTACATGCCATTGGGAACACACGCATGCAGTGTCCGACAGACATATGAATTGTCAGGCACACCATGCTCAGGCCTAGGCTGCTACACACTGATCAGAGCCACATGGCGTCTGAGGTCTCCATGTTGGGATAGTCACAGGTCCAACCAGGACACAGGATCACAGGGTCCCTGGGCCAACCCCGCGCTGGACCTCCCACATGTGCTTCCTCAGCAGGGCTCAGCCCTCCGCCTACGGCCTGTTCTGTTCCAGGCGCCCTGGTGAGCCGGGGCCTGGTCCTCTGCATGTGGCTCACCACTCACTGCGCTGGTCCCCACGCCGAGGCCTTCTCCCAGGAAGGGCGGGCTGCCAGCAGGGCCGACCTGTGGGCCAGGTGAGTGCCCTCCCTGCCCGCCTGCAGCTGGCTCCCTGGCAGGCCTGGAGGAGGGGGTGGGTGAGGAGGGACCACCTCCAGGGGCTGCCGATGATGACCAGGCCTAGCTGTGGCCGGGCCCCCGACTTCCGGCTCTGAACCGGGGGGCCTGGCCATCACCCACTCAGGTCCAGGTCACTCATCCACCTTGCCCTCAAATGGCCAGAGTTCAGTGTCCTACATCAGTGTTAGGAGCCCAGGCCATCAAAGCTGGCTGCTGCTAGGGTCCCTCCTGAGACCCCCTCTGCTCCCCTCGGCCTGGCAGGTGATCACTGCTCATCC